GGGGGGGGTGGCTGGACAGAATAACAGATCTGATGGCAGGTAATCAGTAAACAGTTATGTGTCATTAGCTCTTGCAGCCCCCCACCCCCCCAAAATATAACAATGGGTGAAAGCATATTAAAAAAAAGTTGGTTTACTCCCTGGCTTCCTGTAGGTGCCACTTGGGGGGATCCTGGGAAAGCTGAGAACCCCAAAATCTCACGAGAAGGTACCCCAGTACTGTGCAGAAGCACATTCTCATGGAAGTTGGTTTGAGGGGCGGGGGGCTGCTACATCAGAAGTCTAATTTTCATGCAAGGTCTACTTTAAGGATTTCCTGAGATTGGGTGTTACTGTTACATGTTTCACCCACCGTGGCCCCAACTGATGAAATGTTCTTGTTCCTCATCCACCCAGTGCTAACCTGAGCTCTGTCATTTCTAGTAGACGGCCTTCACACCATTCGTTTTCAATGACTAGAGAGAGGTCTGCAGGAGGCCCCTCTGTCCCTACAACCCAGATACTTAATGGATGTCTCTCCTTCCATAGAATGTCCGTTCCCGTGTACGGATTATACCGTTTTGGGGAGACTTGGCTGACTTAATCAACAACTTCTTATTGATCTTGGAGACTTTTGTGATAAGTCCTCTCTGCTCCCTCTCATGATCACAATGAAGGGGTTGCCCTCCTGCGTCTGGGCTTCCTAAAGATCTGTGTATTACATCATTAGAAATCCATTAGCAGAGTGTGAAGCTTTTGTAATGGTCAGAGGATTTTGAGGAGCGGAGGGGGAGCTCATCGGAGTCCCCAGTTCATATAAGAAGCCAGCCTGTGATTCCTCACACCAATAACAATATAAGCCTGAACTGGCCTATAGTATAATGTTTAAGTGGAAATGAAATGCCAATGTTTGGTCCTAAAGTTTAATGAGCCACATAGAAGGTCCCGTTGTGTCCCTTGTAGGCCCCTGGGGTGTTGCATGCTGCAGTGTTGATTTTGGAGTAGAACATGTCAGTTGCAGGGTCTATATGCATCATTCAGCACTGTCACGTGTGCCTTTATCACACTGTTTCCTTTTCCAGCTTGAGAAATTAAACTAAATATTCATTGAGGGCGGCACCATTTACCCGAGCCCTGTGACTTACATATGTTATACACTTTGTAGTTCCTTCTAGTGGCCGTCTGTAGCTGGTATTGCGGTTTGCATCCTTGCTGCCATCCTAATGGAGATTCTGAATATCAGAACTGGCCCATAATTCCTTTTGCTCCCCTGCATCATATCTTATCACATCACGTTTTTAGTTCCAGTAAAGTCACTAGATACTATTTTAATGCCATCGGATCATTGTCTTCATCCTCTGCCCATATTCTTATAGTGTGTGATATATGCGTGGTGATAAACTGAACATTGCACATATGGAATATATTCTTGTTGTCCATTGAAACAATATGGATCAGGTCACATGGAGCTGCTGCCCTAGTCAGTTGTAAAGTCTTTGCTATGCAGCTTATTCTTCCACATGATTGAAGATAAATAGAGCAGCTTTCCGGATTGTGCTGCCAGGGAGTAGCTGCTTGGTATGCTGGTAATTGTAGTTCTCAAAGAGGAAGAGCGTCCGATTGCTGTATCCTCTTTTCTCATTTGTTGTCTTCTTTGCCTTCCTCAGCTCCCTCAGAGCTCAGTTTTGATGAACTTCTGCCTACCTCAGAAAACTTGTCTCACCCAACTGCCAGCCGACCAAAGATGCCCGGCAAGAGGCTGCCCGGCCGCTTCAACGGTTCCAGCCCTGTAAGTATCGGAGGTTGCATTGTATGGGGGAAATGCCTGCATTTGATGGAACAAAGAGCCGTGAACCTGAACTTTTGTTGGTGCGACTACACTGAGCAACCTAGAGTGAGAAACTGAGCAGTTGTTAGGAGAGGGATAGACCGTTCCTTGGTCATAAACTCCCTACATGAGCGCCAAAAGTTCTATACAGACTCAAGGTTCAGTTTTCTATGTTTGACAGACACTGGAAGTTAGAGCAGGGAGTCCATGCAGCATATGAACAGTGACCAGGGGCCCATGTCTCCTAGAGGTTACATTTCAGAAGACTCGCAGGTTAAAGTGACTCTTATTTTAAAGAAGGTTGTCCCCTTGCCCATGCAAGGCAAAGTTAGTGTTATTGCAAATGCTCCGACCCACCTATACTCGGCTAACTAGTGATCCCTCTATGTGATTTCTTCCTCCTCGGCAGCTGTCTCCAATACGTGACACTTCCAGGTATAGCGGAGCATGTAGTCACCTCCCCAGTGACAGTTCTCAGGTCTAGCAGCCTATCGATATGCCCGAGCACGGTCATATGATCAGGGGGGGTGATGTCATCTCTCCCCATGGTCACTGATTTCTATATTTTAGTGCTAGCTGCTGAAGAGCTTAGTCATTTTATAGTCTTTTAAGAGACTACTTTTTCTTGTGTGTACTATTGTGCATGAATAATGAGGTGGAATATCGCACAAAGTGTTTAGGTTTTGGGTAGATGAAGAGGACTAGGTCTAGTTCAGATTTTCATTGCTGTTTTCCCATTGGTTCAATTTTCCCATCACTTTGTGTCCCAAGGGCACCCAGCAGAACTTTTGTTTGCCCTCCCTGGACTACATTCATATATCCTTAGGATGAATCTGCTCGGAAGCAGTGACTTTGTTAGCGACTCCTCATGGACTCTCTGTAGGAATATATGGAGATCAGACTCCCCAGAAGAGCGGCAGAGGATGGCTGAGCTCCCGGGCGGTCTCTGTACAGGTCTTTAGAAGAATTGTTTTGGGAAGGAATGGGAAATCATCACAATGTTACCAGTAAAGGAAACTTATGCCAAACAGCATCCTGCTTTTGTTTGCTGCCGACACATAACTCGTTTTAGTGGGAGGTAACCCGCTCCTCACTTGGGAAAGTTCTTTTAGTGCTTGTTGGGCTCCCAGGTCCCCTCCCTGTACATCACAAGAGTCATTAGTCCATTCCTCAAATGTCCATAGACAGAAAGGTAACAAAACTAAAGTAAAAACATACTTGTTGTCTACTTTGATCCAGTGTTCTTGTCAATAAAAAGTTTTATAATGTTTTTGTCCTATGGGGATAGAAGGGGAGGAATGAGTTATGTATAAGTTATATAGACAGAAGGTTTATTACAAAATAAAAAAACCTTTCCGGTTGCTTTAACTGACATCTCATGTCACTGACCTAAATCTTATCCCTTCCATCTCCCTTCTGAACACTGTGTCAGGTATAATATTTTCACTGGGACGGGAGCGGATCTGAATGGTACAGTGAGCTAGTCTTCTGAACACTGTGTCAGGTATAATATTTTCACTGGGACGGGAGCGGATCTGAATGGTACAGTGAGCCTAGTGAATGCCATGTGAATGCATAGGAAGGGAATGCATGGAGAACTAACAAAGATGACTTCTGCTTCATTTAGCAGGCTTCACCTCCGACCGAGACCCAGATGGTACCAGTACATCATGAAGAGGAGAATGAAAGTGCCAAAACGCCTCCACCGGAAGTAAAGAAGGTATTTCGCTCACTTCTCGCTCCTGTCCCTGCAGAGAGCCATGACTGTCACTCACGGTTAGCCAGCTGTCACTCACGCAGCTGGGCGGATCCAGACAGTAATGCCGGGATCCGTCCCAGCTGCGCAGTCTTCGTATACAGCGCTCAATAGCTCGCGATATACTGAGCTTTGGGTCACGGGAGGACGCTAGTTTATGTCCTCCCGTGACCCTGAGGAGAACTATGGGGGAAAACACTTACCCCATAGTTCTCTTTTAACCCTTTCCCTGCCAAGCCCTCCAGAAGCTTTTTAGCCTCAGCTGGCCACACTATTTTTTACATTTCTCCCATTGTTTTAATGTTACATTGCTGCGCTGCTAGCGTTTGTAAGAGTCCCCCAAGCCATATATACAATATGAGACCGATAAAAATACACAACTACATTAATAAAAGCACTAAAATCAGTATCCGTGCACAACAAAAATAATTTCCGACCAAATCTAAAAGATAAAACCTATTGAGTTAAGAAATATTTGTAAATTGCGACTCTTTGCGAAACAGTAAAAAAATGAAGTAATGGAGAACTGTAAATAAGCAACTTAAGTTAAAAATCGTTTGTGCGCTGTGCTGATGTTTGTGTTGTAATAAAATGATAGACGTACATTTCATCGCAACACAGCGTATCACAACGCACGGCAATGCGTCACAAAGCTTTGCCATGCGCTGCCACACAGTTAAATTAATGTTATTTTAAAAATAAAAAAAATCAAGCGCTGCGATGTGTTCTAACAATGCACTGCAGCACATGTGCATGGTGTACACCACAATATGGTGCACGTGTGTTATCTGGGGGAGTTGTGTTTTTATATTTTACTGTTGGGGGGCTTTCTCTTAAATATTAGGGGTCTAAACAGATCCCTGACATTTCCTTTTTGAAATTGAAAAATAAACTTGAGGCCACAGAGTCCTCAATCTCTTTTTCTGCAGCCTCAGCACTGCGTGAATGGAAAGCTATATAAACAAACAGGGGAGAAGGAGTTTTGCAATAAGTAACAAATGTATAAACTATATGAATTCAGCTCCTGGGTTTCAAAACATGTAATCAAAACAACACTATCCCCTTAGCAAAGAAATCCCACATTAGGAGCTGTCAGCTGAACAAGTAACTCAATGAGTATATAATGTATCAAAAATAGTATTTTTTATTAACATGGAAGTAGTACAAATCATAAATCACCTAATACACAACATTTAAAATCTTTAAAAGGCTTCCCTTGAATAGCCCAAGTATTGGACAGGACAGTCGGAGTTAATTAACCACCAAACTAACAGCCAGTCACTGGTATAAGTAGATGTGCTATATGGAAATAGCAGATACAATTGTATCAACACACAGCAGGGTTACACACTTCATATGTGGCCCCAGAGTGAGAGTCCATCTGAGATTCTGTGTTGGATGTAAATAGGATGTTTTAATGGAGCATATCCATATAATGATTTGCAATCCCAGCAGTTGTTTTCATTGTGCTTTTAAAGATCGCATGGTTTCTCTTATTTCCCGTCCGGATTAACGTCAACCGACGGGGGTGGGAATATTTCTCCACATTTGGAATGACCCGAGGGTTTCCCTTGCGAGTGCGGCCGCACGGTAAGGCAGGGATAAATGAAGTTCCAGAGGCAGTGTGCTGGATCAGAAGTCCGGCTGCTAACTGATGGGCAAAGCAAATAAGCTGCACTCTGTCCAGGTTCAGAATCAGTGGACCGTGCTGCTGCTGCTCGGTGTATGGAAAGGTCGCCACCCGAGTCCAAGGTGTTTTCTAGCTAAAACGCCCCTTTATAAATGCATTTCCTGCATGTTCGTTATGTTGATTATTATTTGTGCCGTCTCGGTGGCAGCAAAAGGTATAAAGCCGGCCCTCCAGGGAAACAGCTAAACACACAAATAAAACTCATAGATGGGTTATGGTTTTTTGGCAAAGGAATCCCCCCCCATGACAGGAGACCTGATTTTTCACTGCTGAAGTTAATAAACACTTCCAGGTCTTGTCCCTCCCCAATCTATGGCTAGACAGTGAAAGAACACTGATGAGCTCATCCCCCTGTCTGGCACACTGCTATATTCTCCTACCAGCATGCTCCATGCTGGAATATGACCACTAATTGCCTCCTTGTGCTGCTTCTCCTAGTCTGAGAGCTGCTGTAGAGAGGATTGGGAGAGCTGATAGCAGGCCCTATTTAAGTAGTATTAACCTCTTGCCGTCCGCCCGTAGTAAAAAAACGGACGGACGGCACTGCTGCATTTGCGGGTTGCCGTCTCCAGACGGCAATTTTTTTCTGCTCGCGCGCGCCCCCTAGCGGGCACGCACGGGCAGAAAAGACCCGTCCAATGCGAACACCCGGTACCGGGTGTTTCACATATAGGCGATCAGCGGCT